AAATCCTTCTGCCGCCACCCACCAGGAGGCGCTCCAGCCCAGGGCAGCTGTTTACGAGCTCCACCTGGTACGCAGGCTGAGACCCTACCTGCCCGCAGACTGTCTCGCCAGAGTGGTGCATGCTCTAGTTATCTCCCGCTTGGACTACTGCAATGCGCTCTACATGGGGCTACCTTTGAAGGTGACTCGGAAACTGCAACTAATCCAGAATGCGGCAGCCAGACTGGTGACTGGGAGCGGCCGCTGAGACCACGTAACACTGGTCCAGAGAGATCTGCAATGGCTCCCAGGACGTTTCTGAGCACAATTCAAAGTGTTGGTGCTGACCATTAAAGCCCTAAATGGCCTCGATCCTGTATACCAGAAGGAGTGTCTCCACCCCCATCATCCAGCCCGGAAACTGAAGTCCAGAACCGGGGGCATTCTGGCGGTTCCCACGCTGCAAGAAGTGAGGGTACAGGGAACCAGGCAGAGGGCCTTCTCGGTGGTGGCGCCTGCCCTGTGGAATGCCCTCCCAGCAGATGTCAAGGCAATAAACAACTATTCTCCTTTTAAAAGACAACTGAAGGCGGCTCTGTTTAGGGAAGCTTTTAATGTCTGATGCTGTATTGTTTTTAATATTCAGTTGTAAGCTGTCCAGAGTGGCTGGGGAAACCCAGCCAGATGGGTGGGGTATAAATAATAAATTATTATTATTATTATTATTATTATTATTATTATTGAACCACTGATCTAAGTGACGCATCCTGCTGTCCCCTGAGCAATCCTAAGAGAACTGTAGAGTTGGAAGGGGACTCCAAGGGTCATCTAGTCCAACCCCCCCTGCAATGTGGGAATCTCAACACGTAGGTCCCCCATCCAATCCAAACCAGACCAGACCCTGCTTAGCTTTGCAAATGTGCCAGCAGTTTTATTGCTGCACCACTAGGACTACCCTCCCTGACCCCCCTCCAACGGGCCTTTGCTCATCCCAGCCCCCACCCTGCTTACCACGCTCTGCCCTTCGGAGTACTGCAGGGTGATGACGCCGACATCCGCTCCCTCGTCCCCGGTCACCTTCAGGAGTTGCACCACCTCTGCATGCTTGGACCACTTGCAGTCCTTGCCGTTGATGGAGACGATGTAGTCGCCTTCCTTGAGGCCGGCGTCCTGGAAACCCAGTGAGGAGAGGTGAGGACCAGGGAGGCTGGGAAGCCCCCGCAGAACAGGTAAGAGGGAGGGAGGGGAAGGGGCACAGAGACCTTCAGGAACCCAAGGCTGCGAGGAGATGCGTCTATGGAGGGGATTCCTCTCCTATCCAGTAGGGATAGGAAAACACGCCTGCTTTTAAACTCCACAGAAAACTAATTTCAGGCTTACCAGCCTTACGAGACTGCAGGTGTAGCTTACCAGCTAACATCCTCACTGCATCTGTGAAACTCACTGCCACTAGAACAAAAAAACACCAGCCACGAAGGCAAAAACCACTGGCCGTCTAGTTATGCAAAACATAAGTCAGCTTCTCCTGAAATTTACCTCGGGAAATGGGAACACTACCAAGCATTCGGCTTAAGTCCCAGTGGCCCAGTATGAGTAAGCCGCTTTCTGGCGAACCAGAGCAGCGCACAGAAACGCCGTTTACCTTCCTGCCAGAGTGGTACCTATTTATCTACTTGCACTGGCGTGCTTTCGAACTGCTAGGTTGGCAGGAGCAGGGACCGAGCAACGGGAGCTCACCCCCGTCATGGGGATTCGAACCGCTGACCTTCTGATCGGCAAGTCCTAGGCTCTGTGGTTTAACCCACAGCACCACCTGCACTGCTTACCCACCTGCTTAACACCCCAGGAGCATGTCGGTCTGCAAAAATCCCAAGAGATAAAAGTAGAAGCAGCAAAGGCAGGCACATAGCACAGTCTCTGCTCGCTTGGCAAAAACCCTGGAAAGGACGGATTTGGGAAGCTATGGAAGGACCTTGAGTTTCCGCAACTGCCTCATAGAGACAAGCCCCGCAGAAGAAAAGTTGCTGTGTACTCCTGAGCAGATCCTGTTTTTATCATAAAGAATTAACTTCACTTGCTCCGTGTGAGTTACTATTTATTAAATCCATTCATCCAAAGCCCTCAGGGCGGTTCACAGCACAGAATACAAAATGAAACACAAGACGTGTAATAAAAACATTATTTCTTAGGGAGAAAAACCTAATGCATTACGGACTCTCTCTCTCTCTGGATACACTTCTAGATATTTCTCTGCGTACTGAACCGATTTGTACGTTCTCTACCTTAGGGTAGAAATCCTTCAGGTGCGGGGAGCTGAAGGCTCATCTAACAACGGTTCGCATTGCAGGACCTGCGTGCACAGTGGAACCTCGGTTTTCGAGCATCTTGGAAGTGGAACATTCGAACAAACGCCGAAAACCCGGAAGTAATTGCTTCCGTTTTCGAATGCGCCTCAGAAGTCAAATGGCAAGAAGTGAGGTTACAGGGAAACCAGGCAGAGGGCCTTCTCGGTAGTGGCACCCGCCCCTGTGGAACACCCTCCCTTCAGATGTGAAGGAAATAAGCAGCTATCTTATCTTTAAAAGACATCTGAAGGCAGCCCTGTTTAGGGAAGTTTTTAATACTTAATGCTGTATTGTTTTAACACTCGATTAGGAGCTGCCCAGACTGGCTGGGGAAACTCAGCCAGATGGGCAGGGTATAATTAATAAATTATTATTATTATTACTCAATTTTCACCACTGAAATTGCCGACAGACCTTTGGGCCTCGGTTATCGAACATTTCGGAAGTCGAGCGGTCTTCTGGAACGGATTACGTTTGACAACCGAGGTTCCACTGTATAGGGCAGCTTCCCACACGATGAGCAAGGCACCCCATGTTCACAACCGCAAGACCAGCCACTTACCGCCGCACAGCCTCCAGCGATGACTCCAGCAATGAGCACCGGGGAATCCCCTCGGAGGGTGAACCCAAAGCCGTTCTCGCCTCGCACCAGGCGCACCGTCCTCGGGGGAAGCCACTTGTTCTTGGCGGAGAAAACCGACAGTGGGCCCTGCGGGAGGCAGATGGAATAATAATAATAATAATAATAATAATAATAATAATAATAATAATAATAATTTATTTATACCCTGCCCATCTGGCTGGGTTTCCCCAGCCACTCTGGGCAGCTTCCAACAAATTATTAAAATACAGTAGTCTGTTAAACATTAAAAAGCTTCCCTAAACAGGGCTGCCTTCAGATGTCTTCTAAAAGTCTAGTAGTTGTTTTTCTCTTTGACATCTGTTGGGAGGGCGTTCCACAGGGTGGGCGCCACTACCGAGAAGGCCCTCTGCCTGGTTCCCTGTAACTTGGCTTCTCACAGTGAGGGAACTGCCAAAAGGCCCTCAGCGCTGGACCTCAGTGTCCGGGATGGATGATGGGGGTGGAGACGCTCCTTCAGGTATACTGGACCGAGGCCGTTTAGGGCTTTCTTTTTTTATATAATAATAATTTTTATTAAATTTTCAATACAATTGTACAAATAACACCATACCAGACAATTTTCATCTTTTGGACTTCCTTCAGCTTCTCTGCCAATCATCCATATTTAAATTTTTGTTACGCATTCCCTAAATTTAATATTGCCTTTTAATGGCCGTTTAGGGCTTTCAAGGTCAGCACCAACACCTTGAATTGTGCTCGGAAACGTCCTGGGAGTACTGCAGGAGAGAGACTTCCGGGGCTGGGGGCACATTTTGCATCCCCGAAATGCATGCGCCTTCCTGGCGCCAAGAACTTCAGAGCAGCCTCCATGAAGCAGAGAATTAGCACACAGTTCCCAGGGGGGCCAGAGAGATGCCTCCGTGGGGAGCCTGAAAACATTCTCCCCACTCGGGGTTCCCAAAAACCGACACTTGGAGATGTACCACCTCTGCTGCAAAACAGCGGCTCATGGGATCGTCCTTTTGGTAGGGACAAATCTCTCGCTGTGCAGACGAGTGTGCTCTGAATTTCAGACTGGACTACTGAAATCTGCTCTATGTGGGACTGCAAAGAAGTTTGGGTGTTGTTCTTAGTCTCTGTTAAATTTATACGCTGCTCCTCATTCGAGGACCACAGGCAAGTTTACAGCATAAAAACACAAAAATATATAACACAAGCACAAACAAAACAATAATCCCCAAAGGTCCTTCTTCTTCTTCTTCGAGTCATACTTCAGATTACAGACGCTTTGGGTTGTGCGATTTCGGGTTGTGCACCGCGCCGATCCCGGAAGTACTGGAATAGGTTACTTTTGGGTTTTGGTGCTTGCGCATGCGCAGAAGCGCTAAATCGCGCTTTGCGCATGCGCAGAAGTGCCGAATCACAATGCGCGGGTTGCGAATGCTACGGGTTGCGAACGTGCCTCCCGCATGGATCACGTTCGCAACCCGAGTGTCCACTGCATTCTTATTATTATTCTTGTAGCCAAAGGCCTGGGAGAAGAGGAACCAGGCACTTAACGATGTAACTCAGGTGCAAGGCAAGCCTCCCTTGGGGAATGCATTCCACAAACATGGAGCCACCACCAAAAGGCCCGTTCTCACACTGCCACACTCCGGTCCTCTCATGGAGGGGGCACAGGGAGAAGGGTCTGAAATGATGACCACAGGGTCCGGGGCAGTTCACATTTGGATAAGATCCTTGGGGGTCTTGCGGTCCTGAGTCATTTATCAGTCAAAACCAGCACTTGGGCCTGGAAACTAACTGGTAGCCAGCGCAGTTGGACCAGGACCGGTGTAATATGCTCAAACCGTCTTGCCAGTCCGGTGAGCAACCTGGCCACCGAATTCTGCACCAGCTGAAGTTTCCCGACCATCTTAAGAGGCAGCCCCATGCATAATGCTGGCCCATTTCACTGCGTGACATGGAGCTCTATAGGGAGGGACAAAATGGGGAAGACAGGAGGGTTTGACCTCTGGGATCTGCTGGCAACGGATCCACTCTCCTCTACCATTGGCACTCACTCCAAAACCTGGCCTCATCCAGGTCCTGTGGTACGTACCAGCCGATGGAAGATATCTGTGACTTTCACCTTGGAGAAGTTGGGAGATTTGATTTCCGGCCTCTGGTGAGTTTTTGCTAAAAGAGAAAGAGAGAGGAAGAAAAACAAGGCTGAGAGAGAGGAGGGGCACAGGAAGTGGTGCTTTGCACCAACCTTTGTCAACCAGAATTCTTGGGACTACAACTCCCATCAGCGTGTGCTGGCTGGGGCTGATGGGAGTTGTAGTCCAAAACATCTGGAAGGTACCAGGTTGGGGGAAGCCTACTTTTAAACCACTGCACAAATATATCAGTACGTATCGCTTCTGGAGCTGGATCCCTAAGGACTGCAAGTAGATAGAATCCGAGGAAAAGCAGGTATTCCGCAGAAATCCAGCGTTTTATTCTGGGCACACAGAAACCAGCATCCCTTCAGCTGTCTCTTCCTTTCCTTGGGCATGTTTCTATCTCTTAGCAGGACTCTGCTAAGAGATCTCTTTTGATGACGCCTGGCAAAATCTCTGAGTCCAGAAGGGAAGCTACCTAGAATTCCCCCCTATCCTGTAACTTAGCTTGTTTTAAAGCATTTTTAAAATATTGTGCGTTGGTGCTGTAATAACCTGCCTTGGGACTTTGGGGGGAAGGGCAGGTAGTTCATCTAGTATAGCATCTAGATCAAGGGAAGTAATAGCGCCACTGTATTCTGCTCTGGTCAGACCTCACCTGGAGTACTGTGTCCAGTTCTGGGCACCACAGTTCAAGGAGGACACTGACAAACTGGAACGTGTCCAGAGGAGGGCAACCAAAATGGTCAAAGGCCTGGAAACGATGCCTTATGAGGAACGGCTAAGGGAGCTGGGCATGTTTAGCCTGGAGAAGAGGAGGTGAAGGGGTGATATGATAGCCATGTTCAAATATATAAAAGGATGTCATATAGAGGAGGGAGAAAGGTTGTTTTCTGCTGCTCCAGAGAAGTGGACACGGAGCAATGGATCCAAACTACAAGAAAGAAGATTCCACCTAAACATTAGGAAGAACTTCCTGACAGTAAGAGCTGTTTGACAGTGGAATTTGCTGCCAAGGAGTGTGGTGGAGTCTCCTTCTTTGGAGGTCTTTAAGCAGAGGCTTGACAACCATATGTCAGGAGTGCTCTGATGGTGTTTCCTGCTTGGCAGGGGGTTGGACTCGATGGCCCTTGTGGTCTCTTCCAACTCTATGATTCTATGATTCATAACCACAAGGGGTCTTAATCAGGAAGACCAAAATTTCAATAAGGAATGGGGAAAATATATAATTTACCTGAAAAAAAAATCATTGTAAACAATTACAATTATTAGTAGGATTGGAATGACGCTCGTAGTTAAAAGTTGTGGGGTTTGTTTTTTTGAGATTTAATAAAATTGGACGAACAGAGAAGATGCAGGAGAAAAAGTTAACGTAAGGGAACTTATGGAAATTGTTTAATTTGTTTGCTTGATGACTGTTGGTAAATCTGAAAATTTAATTATTATTATTATTAATCACAAGGAGTCTGGATTTTTTTAAAAAACGCTTTGAGCATTTGTGTCTGATCTTGCTCACTTACGGTGGATGTCGGGGGCGTCCGCCGTCTCGAAGAAGTCTTCCTCATGGTCGATCTCCGAGTACTTCCCGAGCGAGCGCTTGTGGGCGAAGCAGAGGACCTCCTGGAGGATGTCCATCTTCCTCAAGATCTTGCACAGGCTGTGGATCCTCATGGCTTCCTCGTGCCTCATGATGGCCTTTCTGAGGTGAGCCTTGCCTACAAACACACCCAACAAATATATACTGTATTTTTTGCTCTATAAGACGCACTTTTTTCCTCCTAAAAAGTAAGGGGAAATGTCTGTGCATCTTATGCAGTGAATGCACTGGACGGCAGAGGGATCCCTCGGCTACCGCTGCAGTTGCGAGCTGAGGGATGCCTCCGCAGCCGGAGCCATGGCTCCCGTCTGTTGCTCGCTGTGAAGCCAGCAGAGCAAGAGGCGCTGCGCAGCTATCGCTCTTGCTCTGCTGGCTTCAGCGATAGCTACGCAGCGGCTTTTGCTCTGCTGGCTTCATAGCGAAGCGGGAGGAGGGACGGATGGGAGCCCGCCTCGCTGTAAAGCAAGCAAAGCACCTGTCCCGGTGTCTCCTCCTCTTTACAGCGAGGCGGGAGCAGTGGCGTAGCATGGGGGGTGCAGGGGGGGCCGGCCGCACCGGGCGCAACTATCGGAAATCAAGCCTTTATCAGGAGAAACTGGCAACTCTCCCAGGCACCCGGCTTGGTCTCCTGTTGACCTCCCTGTCTGCTTCCCGGCAAGATCCAGGCAGAGGTTGCGATAGGCGATCCTTCTCAGCATGAGAAGAACACACACCCTCTTTCCTGCCCCCCGGCAGGAAAAAGAGATAGACAGAAAACGTATTTAGATGCCTTTATTTCTATCTTTGCAGCGTTACAAAAAAATGACTGCTCTCCTCAAACTCCAGCAGTCGAGAGAGAACAAACACTTCCTGTACAGCTCATATTACACTCTGAGCTAATTCCGGTGCCCTCTGCACTGTGAATTAACTGTCTCTCTGTTTCCCACGGAACAGTCCCAACATTACATCATGTGATGTCTTCAATCTACCAGCAGCTCACAGCTGCATTGCTTCTATATCGTAACAGCAACATCTGGGGGGGGCGCGCTCGCACTCGCAGCTCTCTGCCCCTACTAAAATCCACGGGTTAGGGGGCGCAAATTACTTGCCTTGCCCCGGGTGCTGACAACCCACGCTACGCCACTGGGCGGGAGGAGGAATGGGCAAGCAAAGTGAGAGCTGCACAAAGTGAGACAGAAGCCGTGTAAGCGGCTCTCGCTTTGCTTGCTTTACATGCTCTGCGCAGAATTCCCCCCCCCCTTGCTTTCCCCCTCTAAAATCTAGGTGCTTCTTATGGAGCGAAAAATACAGTAACTATGTGCAAAGGCAAGGAGAACTCTGCAGCTGGGTCAGGCCAAAGGCCAGCTCAGGATGACCGGAACAGCACTGCAAAACATCTGGCAGCCACCCTGGGCCCTTAACCTAGCGTGCCAACGTAAATGAATAACACAGAGTTTTTAAGTGAAAGAGTAAGAGCTTTACTGAGTTAAAATAAACTTCTTCATAAACAACATGGTTCCAAACGGTTTGACTGAGATTCCATACTGACTCTGCTCACAACTGAGGCAGACGGACCCTGACTGAAATCTTACCAAGAGAAAATGGCTGCTAAGTCACATGTCAGAGCGACTCAACAGTTAGCAGTTAGGCCTGAATAACTATAGTAGGACCAAACGATTGTGCAGTCCCAGCACTTCCCAGCCTGCTTTGCTGCTTCGGCTCTCGTGTCTTTGTCACGTGACACCAGGTTGGCCAAGGATGCTCTAAGCCAGTATCAGCCAGGGGAGGGAGGATGGAGTGATTCTGGGAAGGGGACTTACCTAGCTTCCTTCGCTCTTCTTGGTCCTGCAAGAGCAGCCGGACGTCTGGGCCCTGTGGCGGCGTGACGTGGAACTGCAGGAAAGCTTTCTCGTGCTCTGGGAGATCCGCGTCAGACACAGCTGCGGGAAACAGAGCAGGAAAAGGCTGACTTGGGAGGAATCACAGAATCGTAGCATGGGAAGGGACCCCTGAGGGCCATCTAGTCCAACCCCCTTCAATTCAGGAATCTCAGCTGAAGCATCCACGACAGATGGCCCCCCAACCTCTGCTGAGAAACCTCCAAGGAAGGAGAGTCTCCCCCCCCCAATTTTTTTTTATTCATTTTATAACAGAAATAAAGATCACAAACAGAAAAACAAACAATACAAACAAATTCTTGTCATATCCTTATTTTTCTAAACATTGTTAAGTGGGCTTCCCCAAGTCCCACCTATCTGATTTTCATTTTACTTCATCTTTAGCAGTTTACATATATCATAGTTTCTAACCATCTTTTTTTATCACATTTAAAATAACTTTACATTTTATCGCTTACAAATAATATTATTTTAAAATACACTATCTTCTACTTTTAACCCTACAGCCTCTATCCACTTCCAAAGCTATTCTAATATTTAAATATTAACATATTTTTTCAAATATTCCTTAAACTTAAGGAAGGAGAGTCTGGTGGGAGTCTGTTCCGCTGCTGAAACAGCTCTTACCGCCAGAAAGTTCTTTCTGATGTTTAGTCGCAATCTCCTTTCTTGAAGCCATGGGTTCGAGTCCTATCCTTCCGGAGCAGCAGAAAACAAGCTTTCTGCCTCTTCCATGGGATGGCCCTTCAGGTATTTGAAGATGGCTCTCCTATATCCTATCAGTCTCCTCTTTTCCAGGCCAAACACACCCAACTCCCAAGCCGTTCCTCATAAGCTTTTACTCAGAGTAGACTCATTTAAACGAATGAGCATGGCAGAGATCGGTCCATTAATTTCAATGGGTCTACTTTGAATGAAACTTAGTTGAATGCTACCCATGGATGACTTACACTGACTTAATAGGTTTAATTTAAGATGGCTGTGCTGTACTGCTTGCTTAACTTAAGCTGAAGGTGGTTTTCGTTGTTTTTCTCCCTCTCACACTTTTCCTCTCTTTTTCCTCCCTTGTTCAATTTGCTGTTTTCCAAAAAGATGAAGAAAAGCCGCAAGCCGCAAGGCAAGACATGCCAGACTACTCGAAACCCAGCTGGTTTCTAAACACTGCCCAATTCTCCGGGCAATCGCTGCTTGCCAAGGCTCTAGTCCTGAGCGTGGCAAAGACCACATGGCCAAAGTCCTTGTGAGAAGCGAAACAGACTGACTATCGCCCTGAAGATGTAATCTCCCCTGCATTTATTATCATTCACCGGCCAAAGCCACGGCTAATCTGCTTACGTTAGGAATGAACTTTGGGATTAGGGCCGCTCAAAGCGCCAGAAGGAGACAGTGAAGCGCTAAGGAAGCTCAGCTAAGCATCTTCCTCCCTGCCCTGAAAACAACACCTTGGAATCAGCCGCCGCTGCCCTAAGCCCATTATGGTCCATAGAGGCTGGCATCAGAGGCAGCATGTGCCAGCTTGGGGCTCAGCCTGGCGAGGAGTTTGCTGACAGGCTACCGAGCCAGTCAGATACTGTTTTCCTCCAGAGATGTACAAAATGGGGAGAAGCAGTGAAGCCACGACCACACTGGTTTCAGATTCAAATTGTGCTCGGAAACGTTGTTGTTGTTGTTTAGTCGTTTAGTTGTGTCCGACTCTTCGTGACCCCCTGGACCAGAGCACGCCAGGCACCTCTGTCCTCCACTACCTCCCGCAGTTTGGTCAAACTCATGTTGGTAGCTTCGAGAACACTGTCCCTCCATCTCATCCTCTGTCGCCCCTTCTCCTTGCGCCCTCCATCTTTCCCAACATCAGGGTCTTTTCCAGGGAGTCTTCTCTTCTCATGAGGTGGCCAAAGTCTTGGAGCCTCAGCTTCAGGATCTGTACTTCCGGTGAGCACTCAGGGCTGATTTCCTTAAGAATGGAGAGCTTTGATCTTCTTGCAGTCCATGGGACTCTCAAGAGTCTCCTCCAGCACCAGAATTCAAAAGCATCCATTCTTCAGCGATCAGCCTTCTTTATGGTCCAGCTCTCACTTCCATACATCACTACTGGGAAAACCATAGCTTGAAACTATACGGACCTTTGTTGGCAAGGTGACGCCTCTACTTCTCAAGATGCTGTTTAGGCCTGTCATTGCCCTTCTCCCAAGGAGCAGGCTTCTTTTAATTTCGTGGCTACTGTCACCATCTGCAGTGATCATGGAGCCCAAGAAAGTAAAATCTCTCACTGCCTCCATTTCTTTCCCTTCTATTTGCCAGGAGTTGATGGGCCCAGTGGCCATGATCTTTGTTTGTACTGGGAAATGCACCTTTCAAGACCGGTGTTATGTGGTCTCGCAGCCACTCCCAGTCACCAGTGTGGCTGCCGCATTCTGGAT